ACAATGTAGACGGGTGACTAATGGCTGATCTACCTGACAGGGCTTTTTGTTGAAGTCCACAGAAAGTCCACGGGAAGCCGTCTGTGCTTTGCAGCAGGATTGATGCACTTGTGGGAACGCTTTGGAACGAAAGGGATGGCAGCAATTAGGAAAAGCAAAGGAGGGGAGGGGTGCCTGTGATTATAGCAGAAGCACTTCAACACCCAGATTTTGCATTGTCAATTAGAGAAGCTGCAAAGAACAAAAACACCTTCCTGCTGGTTATATTTGTCTTTTATTTATTCAAAACAGAGGCTACTGTCTGTGAATCAAATAAAATGTGTATTTGTTCATGATATGTTTCATTTTTATTGTCATTTCAGTCATTTTAACATTTTTAACATGTATGTTATTAAATTTATTTTATAAATTTGACTTAAAAACTGTCCCAAAATGCCCTGAAAGTAAACATTTTTAATTTATAATGACTGGATTTACACCCACTCAGTGGCCCAACATTTACAAGGAGAGCAGCACATCCTGTTTCAATTTTGCGTCCTTAAATTTTAATAAGCTTTCAGCTTATTAGTCTGATTTCCAGGGTTTCTTGGTTGGTTTTGACAGGCGCCAGCAGCAGAAGGTCAGCAAAGTCACCTGGAAGACGAGGATTGGCCCAGCCTAATTTCTGCTGTCCTTCAGGTGCAGCCTGTCACCCTTTTTGCATTTTAATAAAGGCGACCTGTTTATTAAATCTTTGAGTGCTTTTTGCTTTTCCTTGTTTTTACCCATATGAAAGAAGTGGTTTATGTTGCTAGGCAACCAGACTTGATCAACACACTTCCCCCTCCCCCATTTTTAAGCTCATAATTCCTCACCTATATTCACGCATCAGTTCTTAATTAGATTAAGATGCAGAAACACACACACACACACACACACACACACACACACACACACACACACACACACACACACACACACAAAATGCCAGGGTTTAGTATAATGAAACACTCATATTTTAAATGCAACTGAGCGCTGATTTGTAGTTGTCGCTAAAACATTTTAAGAGAAATTGTTGCTTTAATGAGTCAGAGAAAAGGATAATTTAGTTTTTAAATTATTTTTACAGTTTAAATTCAACATTAAAACATTAGCAAATACGGTTTTCTTAAAATAAAGGCCACAAAAAACAAAACAGGTGCAATATAATTGTATTCTGTGCAGCTTTTTTTCTCAAATGGAGAAATGAAAGAAGGCTTTGCGTGCTGATATCTGCAGCCATTTTGAGGACTTTCTGAAAATGTTCATTTTTACCAATAATGTTTGCACCTTATTTTCTAGTTTGTTTCAACATTCTTTCCTGAAAACTGAGTCTTCTTTAAACAATGAAGCAGCACATTTATTTTATTATTATTCTCATAAGTTCAAAACCGGGTATTAGACAAAATAAATTAATAAAATGTTTTGTTTCCTAAATAAAATTCATTAAGCAAAAAAGCATTTTAGACTTTTTGGCTTCAAGGTTAAGTTATCATCAAATTGCATGCAATTCTCTAAGGTGTGTGTCTGTGCGAGCGCGCATGCGTGCGCACGTGTGTGTGTGTGTGTGTGTGTGTGTGTGTGTGTGTGTGTGTGTGTGTGTGTGTGTGTGTGTGTGTGTGTGTGTGTGTGTCGCAGACCAAGGACAGTTGGATTTTCTGTAAAGAGTACGCTCGCTTTGCACTCCCTAGAGCTACGGCTTTGATTGAAAACCAAAATGAGTGGAAATGTCGCAAATTTCTGCCAATATGCCAGAAATGAAAATCGGCCTCGTGGTGTTTCTTTTTTTTTTTTCCTTACGGATCCTGTTAAGTGTGGGCTTAACACGTTCTGTTAAGTGTGGTTGGAGTGCATCTAAAATACGTCGTTATTACGTGTCTATGCACTCAAGGGAAATGTCCCCTCTGAAAGTCCTCAATGCAGAGTGAGTCTCACTTATAAAATATATAGAAAAGCTCAGAATTTGGCCTTGACTGGACTGAAAATGAAATTTAACAAAAAAAAAGCCCAAAGGCAGAAAATGAAACCTGCAAAACTATGAAGACATTCCTTTATTACCTTTAATATAGAACTTTGATTTCAGTTTACAGCATTCTGGCATCTTGTTCAATCAAAGATGCTAAAACCTGTAGAAACATTCCCCTTTTCACTGCTGATTTTGGCTCATTTCTTAGGTGGACGTGTTTTCAGGGAAACAGCAAAATGACTATTCTAACTGCTTAGTATTCACATCACACAAAGTGGGTCTGTGTTCCATATTTAGTTCAGTACTGTACAGCTGGGGAGCTGTCCAGCACCGAGCGGCAGTATGCAAATGAGTCTGGATTTGAATGGGGATGGAGGTAGACACAAAGCTCAATTAGAGACGAGGAGGGAAAGAGACGGTGGGGGAGCGTTGAGTCTGGATGAGGAGAAATGGGGGAGGGGGAAATTTGCCTCTGTGCTTAATGCCAACCTGTGCAGAAAAATAACATTATACATACATGCTGAAAGCACTAAAATCCACACGTGGACGTGAATGTTTTAGACAGAAAGACATATTTCTAGCTTTTCTCCAACAGGGATTCTATTTCTGAGACAGCTCAGCCTCATAATGCGTCTCAGTCGCACCAATCACAGCGAGACTACCTCGCCTCACCCATAGATCATGGAAACAGAACGGAAAAAAATGTGTTTCAGGTCTAGAGCAGGTGTTCGTCTACTCTCTGACACAGTCGAATCTAAATAAAACACACTGGACGGACGCAGTTTTGTTCTTGGGTGTTAATGCTGGAGCAGCGCCTCGCATGTCACCTGAATGGGTGGCTGCACTGCTGTCCTTGGAGAAGTCTCTGACATCAGCACCCCCCCTTTGGTTGCCATGGCAACTGTGATATCAATTATGGAGAGGAGGGGAGTGGGGTGCAGAAAATGAATATGCACACACAAAAGAGAAGGGGCCGAGATTTAATTGCTGGTGTGTGAGGCTGAATTGGTTTTGGAAGCTGCAGCAATATGTGAGGAATATCAAATCAGCAACTAAAATCACACGAAGTCACTGAATAAATTAAATATTTGCATTTTTATTCAGATGCTTGCTACACCAAAGATACTGTTCAAGCAACATTTTCCTGTCTTTCGTTATCAGTACTATTGTAAATCATTTCTTAGGTAAAGAGATGTAGCATTTGTGGCTGAACTGAAATTTGTCTGATTTTGATTTTGCATTTAATTAAGCATGCATGGGTTTCCTGTGCAGACAGGACTTTACACAAGGGCTCTGAGCCAGGCAATGCAACAAAATCATCCAAGTAGGAGTGATGTTTCCCCATGACCTCTGATCTTCTCTGACAATTGTAAATCTCTCCTTGAGTTTGACTGATTGCTATGAGTAAATTAAGAACAATATGGAGGAAATCTTGTTAAAACCAAGAGCGCCACAACAAAAAAGAAGCATAAGCTTAGTTATGTATGGAAAGCCAACAATAATGCATCACACATCACAAAATAATGCAAAAAAGGCCTTTTAAAATGCGCTACAACACACGATATTTAAATTTTACGTGCACGAAAGCGTTATGTGCATACGTGCTGTTAGCGCGCGCACCCACAGTAAATGTTGCAACGGTCTCATCAATAATGCATCGACACTTCATGCTTATGCAACTCCCAGGGCAAGCCCGAACCATGCGGACGCCGGTGCACGGTTCAGGCGGAACAGTTTCACGCGCCCAATCCCCGGACAGAGCTCACACACACGCGCGCAAACACACAAGCAGTTACCGCCTGTGGAGAAACAGATTAAGATTATAAAACAGTCTTCAGCACATACCTGTTAAGCCACCATTTCTCTGTGATTCTGGTTTATGCAGGCTTGAAGGGCTCATGATAACACCGCACCAAGGCTGTGCTGATATGCAAATTAACGACTCACGCTGAACGCTGGTGCATTTATTATTCATAAATTACTCATGTTTATGCAAATGACACTATACGGAAACAGTGGTGGGGGTTGAGAGGCTCAGTCTAATAAACATGCTGAGAGAGTCAGTGCTGCCCTGCTCTGCTGTAAAAAAAAACTGATCTGAGTCCAACACACTCATGAACCACGTGGAGTTCAAACCTTCTGCAGGTGGGATGGGAAGGACCATGTTTGGATTATCATTTCTAGGCAAACATTTGTGAACAAAACACAAGTGTTTCTCATTACCCATCTGAACTGTACATAGGCTATTTAACCTTTAGAGTAATAATGGCTTAATCTGATTGTATGTTTTTCATAATTGATTTTTAATTGTTCTTTAATATTTGAAAGATTATGTAGAAAAACACAAACAATGTCTGGTGAAATGCACTTCCAGTAAATAATCTCTATGGTTATTTCCAAAGCTTGCACCTCCTTTGGTCGCTCCATTCCAGTTTGGTGCTTCCAAGGAATGAGCTGCAAAAATCACTGAACATCACTGCATACATTCCATTATTTACCTTCAATAATTCACTGCAATCAATAGTTTTGAAAAGGTGCTTCTGAGTACTTACAGATAGTTTAAAGTATGTTTGTATCAATTGTACATGTTGTAATTGAGAACAGTTATAACTGTTTTATCTTATTTTAATCTGTATGTTTTATCTGCTTTTCTTTGGTGTAAATCTAATTAAGTGCCTGTTACTGCTGCCTCTTGGCCAGATTGTTGTTGTAAATGAGAATGATTTCTCAATCGACTCATCTGGTTAAATTAAGGTTAAATAAAAACAAATGAAATAAAGTCATCAACCTTTGGCTTATTTGCAAAAAAGAAAAGGGCTTTCTTTGTAGCTATATGAGGAAATACGTGAATGAATAAATAAATAAATAAATAAATAAATAAATAAATAAATTGAACTGGTGAGTAATTTCCCTTATAAAATCACAATTTGAACATTGTATCAAAATCCATTATGACAAGAATTAGATATGAGTGCGCACTTTTCTAAGCATTACGGTAGATGCTTGCGTCATTAAAACGAGACATAGTTGTGTCAACATTCGGCGACGTCTGGTGATTCAGTTGAGTGGCTTTTTGCTTCTTAACAGGAGTACACTTGATTATAAATGGGGATATAAACAGCTTTTCTACCATTATATTTATTTTTGATCAACACTACCGCTCTTTGGTGATACAATGCGTATTTAGAGACCAAAACGTAAGTTAACGTTAATAGTTTCGTCACATGTTTGTATTTTCCTCCTTCTGTCAGACAGTTCTGTCGCATCTGTCGTTACAGAAACCACAATGTTCCACAACAGCTCACAAAGAAAGTTCTGGACCTTTAAAGGTGAGGATGAGTTGGAGCAGAAAAGGTGTAACGCTAATGGGAAATTCCGTAAGAAAGCTATAGAAACCGGAAAGGTAGGTAAGCCGTTAGCTATACCTGACATGGCTGCTAGCTTTATAGAACACCGTAAACACACATTTATGACACTCTATGACTGTTCGGTTTAAATCCAGCCTGGCCTGAGTGACTCCTTGTTTTTGGAGCGTCATGAGGAGGACGCTTTATTTCGGCTCTATGAGAGGCGACTGCTTGACTTCTGCAATGCCTTTAAACCCATAATGCCCAAGTCTGTGGTGGTATGTGTGTTTTGTCTTTTTTATTTAGTTAAATCCAACTTTTCTTTGTTTTGTTTTTTTGTCTCATAAACCATATGTCACTCACCTGTTGCAGGGCACAGCCCTCATGTACTTCAGAAGATTCTACCTGAACAACTCCATCATGGAGTACCACCCCAGGATCATCATGTGAGTCCAGCTAACAGTGGCAGACAACACACTAAAACATATACAGCTATCGCAAATAGGGTTGTCACGGTATGAAAATTTAACCTCACGGTTATTGTGACCAAAATTATCACGGTTTTCGGTATTATCGCGGTATTTTTTAACGGTGTTGCATATGTTCAGAAAGCATTGATAGTCCTGTTCTACACAAACTGAAATAGTTTTGAAAAGGTTTAACAGTGTTTATTAAACCTAAAATAACACAAAGCCTTAGCAAAAGTGCAACTTTTCACAAGTAAAAGAACAAATAGCTTCTTTTTCTGGAACATGTTACAGTAGTCAGTGCAGGTTTAAATTATACAAATCCAAACATTCGAACCATAAACAACATGTAAACAAATCAAAGAAACACCACTTGTTTTCTCATATACTTGTTTTCTTCATTATCAAAATGAAAATCTAAAACTCCAGTCCACACTTGACTTGAGCACTGTACAAGTCAACCTTAAAAAATATGTATTTAAAATAAATAGCCACTTTAAACAAATTACTAAAATAACTACTACACTATGTAATCAAATCCAAATGTTCAAGTATAAATGGCATTGAATAAGTAAACAAATCAATGACAAGGAACTAATTGTATATTTCTCTTCATCATCAACAAATAAGATGCTTCATCCAGCAACAGGGTGTCCGTGACACGGTTTAAATGCTGGCAGAGGACGCTGCGGCTGCAGTATATAGTGACTCGTTGCATTCTCCCTCAATCAAAAGTCCTCACGTCATGCATTTAAGCTAAAATGCTAATGTTATCTTACCTTGCACTGGCTGTAGAGACGTGGGTGATGGTCACGCAGATGTGCCATTAGATTCGAAGTGTTGCTGCCTTCTGCAGACACTTGTTTCCTGCACGTTCTGCAAACGGGATAGCCGTCTTCTATTAACTGTCCCTCAGCATTTTTCAGAAATCCAAAATATGCCCATACTTCCGATTTAGTCTTCTTTGAGGGCTGAGGAATGTCCTGGGCGCTGCCGTCTCCTCCTTCGGCCATTATTTCAGCTTCAAAGTTTTGGCTGCAAACTAAAAAGTGCGTTGTGTGCACGCCGCGGGAACTTCAGCAGAAGCGACGGTGGCTGGTAAGGGTCACCGCGCCTAAACCGCGGCCACGGTAAACCCACCGAGATAATTCAGTTTTTTAAAAACTGGACGGTTATTTTTATTGTCAACTTTTTTACCGGGTTTTACTGCTATACCGGTTACCGTGACAACCCTAATCGCAAAATCACTCCCTGACTTTTATAAGTACCGAATTTATAAAATCAACATATTTGTAAGAATGAGTTACTTTTGTTCTCTCATCTGAAGAATATAGTGCTGTGAAAAAGTTTTCCCCCTTGCAGTTTTCTTCTGTTTAGTTTTTTTATAAACCAGTTAAGAGGTCATTCGAGTGAATACACAAAACAGTTTTCAAACAACTGATTTTATTTATTAAATAATTAAAGCTATGTGGGAAAAGTAACACCCTCAGCTGGAACAACTTCAGTTAAGAATTTGCATCAACTGGATGAGTCTGGCCGGCGTGTTCAAGGTTAAAGGTCAGAATTCTCTTTAACCCTCATTTACATTGAGTACAGAACAGATGTGGTGCAGAATCCATATGGCTTCTGCAGATAGACTACCATTTACACTGACTGCTGGTCATGTTTGGAATGTCTCTGGAAAGTTGCTCCAACCACCAAATGATTAGAAAGTTGACATAATAAAAATATACTTATAAAATAACTATCATACACTGTGAACTGATATCCCTGTCATGATTTTAAAAAGCCAGAAAAACAATGCTACACAAATTTTATTCTGAAAAATACTGGATGCACCTTACTGAACCACATCTCACTTCCTGTGTGACTCATGTAATGTCTTTAACCTCAACAATCAGCATGCAGTGCTTGGAAAAAATAAGACTCCATGCAGAAACTTTCCAGAGCTCCAGATCTGCACCACACCCCAGCCGGTGTGAATGCTCCTATTAGACTCAATGATTTTTGGTCTTTGTGGAAGCTGTAGATTTCTGACCACATCAGCTTCGCCTATCCATCCATCAGTCTCAGACCATCACACTACCACCACCATGTTTGACTGTTGGTGTGTTGTCCTTGTTCTGAAATGCTGTTAGTTTTCCAAAAATGTCATTACAAAGACTTGGGAATCAAAGATATGTATAGTTGTATTTTGGTCATTGGAAAGTCAAATTGACCGTTACTAGATAGAGAAATAGATCAGGTTAACGCCTTAATGTGAGATTTTATGACATTAATTCTCTGTATTTCACTTCATTCAGGATTGTTCTTGTCACTCAGCTGCTTATTTAAAGCCCTCTTTCTTGTTTCAGGTTAACTTGTGCATATTTGTCCTGTAAAGTGGATGAGTTCAATGTGTCCAGCACTCAGTTTGTAGGCAACCTTCTGCAGGAGACCCCAGCAGGACAGGAAAGGGTCTTGGAGCAAATCCTCGAGTATGAGCTGCTTCTGATCCAGCAGCTCAATTTCCACCTGGTTGTCCACAACCCCTACAGACCCATGGAGGGTCTGCTCATTGATCTCAAGGTGCTGTTTGAGCATTACTCTGGAACACAATCATCAGTCTAAATGTAGATCACAGTGTAACAGTCATGTTCTTAGACTCGGTACCCCACGATGGAGAACCCGGAGTCACTGAGGAAGAGTGCAGATGACTTTCTGGCCCAGGCGGCCATGACAGATGCAGGGCTTTTGTTTCCTCCTTCCCAGATCGCTCTCACGGCTATTCTGAACAGTGCTTCTAGAGCTGGCATCAACATGGAAAGGTAGGTAACCAATTTTTTTAACTAAATGCAACAGAACAGTTTTAAATGGCTTGATTTGAATGCAAGTCTTATTGTTATACCCCTTTTAATATTTCATTTGCCCAGCTACATGACTGAATGCCTGGGGCTGAAAGAGGACAGAGACACTCTTTCAAAGATGTACGACTCAATGAGACGTGAGTATACGCTCGTTTCAGTTTGGCACCACAAGATGGCGATACTGGGCTATTTGAGCTCCGTTTCTGCTTTAAAGATTTTTGTATTCTTTGCTGATGCAGGCATGAAAACTCTCCTGAGGGGGTATGAACTCCCCAAATCAGAGGAGGTGCACATCTACAAGCAGAAGTTGGAGAGAATCCATGCTGAGTTTGCCATTTCAAGCAAGTAAGAATATTAAATGTGTAAAATATTGAGCCACAGCACACACATTTGTAGTAAGTTTTATTTCAGCCAGGTTCTCGTATCTAAGATGCAAAAGGTTTAGTTTCAGGTAGAAAAATAAAAAGGAGCACATCAGTGTCAGCTGTATGAAATACAGAAATGCTACACTGCTGCAACCATCATCCGTACCATGTCTGGTACTGGTATAGCTGATGGGATTGTTAGGTTCGACAGTTGCAACTCGTCCGTCTCCAGTTAACACCTGGCGAGGTCCGTGGTATCTCCAGTGCAACTACGGTAAACTGTTTGGTAAACTTCTGAGATATGACTGGCACAGATTCAGGCTCTGCAGCCATTTGGCTCTGCAGGAGGCACAACAGGCCGACCCAGATTACTAGAATAATTAAATTAATCTGTGCATGGCATGACTTCGGCGCAGATTTGTATGAAAACAGTCGGTGAAGAGGTGTTACTGACGAATCGCCGCCTGCGATGGCGGCAGATTGCAGTGTCTCAAAGCTTTCATGTACATCTAAAGGCATAGAGGGAGTTCAGGTGATGGTTAAGAGCAGCATATATATTTAGGCCCACACACTTTAGGAGTCATTCAGGGTGAAGACATGCACAAAAAGAGTTACTGCTACATCCTACAGACTCTCAGCTGAGACTATTATCGTACGCCAACATCGTGTATCTTTACTAGCCCAACGTACAAAAGCAGCTTAGAAAAATAAATCGGGAGCTTGCATGCTGCAGAAAGGCTCATAAACAAAGAAGTTGTAGTGGTTTGGGTGGAGTGCTCATAAAATCAGGATGGGATGGTGAGCAGAAGGGGAATTAAGGCTTGTGTTGTCTTGGATAGAGGTGCTATGTTTAAATTCCCTGATGAGCAGAAAAACAGCTTCTTCAGTGCTTTGGATCTCTCCCAACAGCAGGTCTCCTGTAGTTGTCCAAAAAGAGGAGTCATTGAACAGAAAGTCAGTATTGTCTGGTTTCTTGTTCATCACCAACCATAAACACAAAGACTCATGAGGGGAAAACAGGTCAAACATTTCCACAGGGGAGCTGAAAACCATCTGCAGTCTCCTTTGTCCAAGTTCGGGATGCTGTAGTTGAGGTGGTTTTAGGAAAGGGGCTTTGGAGGAACAGTATTCAGATATGCAGCAAGCCGGTTCTTCCATAAAGAATCGTCGTATTGCATTTGTACTCCAGGAATCTAGGCCACATGCTCACAGTACAAGTAGGAACTCTTTAGTCTTCCGTTATGCACCTCAGGGAGCGACGCCCCGCTTGGGCTGGCTCGCTGCGTGGTCTGGCTAAATGATTCGCAGGTGAAAATCCCGAAAACTTACATTACCTGGATGGCAGCAGCCAGTGACATGATGGTGCACTCTGTCCTGTAAAATAAGGTGGACATGTTTGTGAAAGAGGTGTGAACAACGAGTGATGTTGCGTTTAAAATACCAGTACTGCGTAAACTAGCCTACGTGAAGATGGAGACGGGGGACTAAAACTACTCATGGAGGTCGTGAAGATGCAGAGGGCACTAGACTTCAGGGAACGGGTGGCATAAACACTGAGGACAAAGTTCACCAGCAGAGGTGGCTTGCAAACTCGTGTTTTGGTTAACGTCTTACATTGATTTTTGTTATTGCAGCAAACGAAAGAGGGGATATGAGGAAGATGGTCACGTGGCCAAGGAACCTCGCTTGGCTGAGGAGGTGAGGCTTTTTGACTTTTTAAAGCAGCCATCTGGAGTTTTTCCCCTTTCAGGAATTATGACTTTAGAAAGTCATGGAAGTGCTAGTATTACCCTGTTATGTGATAATGTCGTCAATACATCTTGTTTTTGTTTAGCCCATTCCGTAGAGCCCCATGCAATAGGATTGAGCAGCACTCAGCATTAGTCAGTAGGGTTAGACATCTGCTTACAGACAGATATGCCAGTCACGGACGTGTGCACGTGAATGCAGGAGTACCTAGACAGAGTTGGCGACATTTCTTATGGACGAGTTTTTAAAATATATACAAACACCTTAACGTGAGAATAGTTATAAAATGGAGTGTTTTACGTTGCCTCCAATCGTAAAGACGGAAGTAGGGAGAGGGGCTTAAAGGTGTAATACATTTTCCCACCTCTAGATGGTGCCCTCTGGGAGAAAACTTCAGATTTTTTCTTTAAGCAAAATTTGTAGACGTCAGTTAAAATAATCTGTTCTTTTCAGGACTGGAGTGACGAAGACCTCATGTGAGCTTGATGTAGTCGAATCAAGCTGTAAGGAACTATCCCTATGACTTAATTGTATTTTCTTTACATCTTCAGGCCTCTTATCAGTTTGTGTAAGATTTGTTTTGCAAATAAAATATGTTTTCTAAAGAAATGATGTGTGTATACCTTCATCTTTTTAGGTCACAATGAAAAAACTCCATAAGCTACTTAACAAAAACAGTTTAATAAGTGCATGCATGCCTGTTATACAGTCTGTACTAAAAATTTACTGCTGTAAACATTTTATTTTACTTGGTTTCTTTGATTATTTGTCCTGTCTGGCCACGAGTTAGCAAAGGAAAATCTTTATTATAGCTGAAAACAATTATAACCAGGAAGAAAAAAAATCAAGTTTCTCACTTTTAAACTCATGATTCCAGCAAGAGAATTTATTCATATAAAATAACCAGATTTTTTGCAAAGACTTTGTTTCAAATCTAGAAAACAAAGACAGAAAAGGACAAATTATTTTTGTCAGCACTTTGCAGATACTGTAACTTTAAAATTCAGTCAGGAGTTACAGTATAAAAGCATCACTGCTCAGGATCCAGTTATCACTTAAAGGAAAGAGGGGCGCTGAGATGAGAACTACTCGAGTCACTTTGTGCCTGCTGGGTTTTGGTAGCAGATTGCCAAAGAAACCGTTAGAAAATCAAATATTTGGCCCTCTTTACGAAGAAAATCAAATGTACACACATCAGAGTACAAACAGAGTCCGTGAGGAAACGTTTTTCCTGTGCAGCTGTCAGTTTTGTTTTAAGTTGCTTGTTCTCAGTTGCTGCTGTTGCATAGCTGTCTTGTGGTGAACCAGACAAGATGATAGGAGAGGGTGGGTGGGAGGTACTATCAAAGGAAGACATGATGGAGAGTGGTGGATGGGTTGCCATGGTGATGAAGGAAGAGCATGCTAGGCCTCCGCAGGGCTGCACTCCAGGGGGGAGGTGAACTGGATGGGGAGACGAGAGGAGAGCAGTACTACCTGTTGCTGTTGGACATGGCATACTGAGCCTGCTTCTGCTGGAGGAGCTCGGTGATGGCCAGCAGCTTTTTCAACACATGCTGAAGAAAAAAACAAGAGTACGATGACTTCTAGAGCAAGCTTTGAACTCCTGGAGCTGTGATCGTCAGTCTCTGACCTGCTGTGCGCCCCTCTCATTGCTCAGGATGCGAAGTTCAGCTGAGTGTGCGACACAGATCTCGTGCAGCGCGGCCAGGTCCCGCGGCAGGTCGGCCCTAAAGCTCTCTATGGTGTCCGGCAGCTCTGGGACATTCTACAAACATGTGACAGTTTTTTATTGTCTGCTTGTGAAGAGAGGGCCTCAGTCTCTCAAAGATACTATACCAACCATTAAAGTTTTAAACAAATCAGATATTCAGCTTAAAGGTTTGATCCAAAAAGTAAGAAATGAAACTCACCCCTAACTCATCCAAGAACATGATCATCCGATGTTTGTTATTTTTTATGAAAGGGTTCACACCCTCCATGTAGGGCTCCTGTCAATAAAAATAAATCAGTAATTAGCTAAATACTTTTGCATTTTGTGAAAGTTTAAACGGGATGAGCTCATACCTTAGCACCAAACTCAACCAGGTTGGCCAGGTTCTGGACAGACTTGGCCACCAGTGTGAGGGTCCTACCTGCTGTTGAAGATGGAGGGTCTGGAGGGGAGGAGCAAGAGTCCATAAAAACTGATTTCCATATTGCAGTAAAAACATTCGGGATGTTTTTTTTAGCACACACTTACCAGCTATGATGTTGAACATTCGGGGGTTGAGGATGGCAGGGCAGATCAGTCTTAAAAAGACAAAACCACTAGAAAAATACAGATGAGGTGGAAGTTAGTCAGCAAAAACAGCCTTTACCCATCAAAGTATTCAGATTGTTTAGAGACGCTGGTTTACCTTACAACTCTCGTCCTCATGGTGGTGTTATTGGGCCACTTCCTTTTGACAGACATCTGCAGGCACCCGTAGATATACCTCAATGTCCTGTGTGACACACACACACACACACACACACACACACACACACACACACACACACACACACACACACACACACACACACAAAAAATCAGCCGAACTCTTTGGGTCTAATGATGAAGCAGTAAAACCATTTTTTAAAGAGCAAGTCACCCCCTACCAGGGTATTACTCCACTCCCATTTCCTGTTTGAAAAATGCAACAAATGCTGTTGCCTAGCAGACCAAAGGGGCGGAGCCACTAACAAACACACACACATGCTCACAATGACATTGTGACATCATATGGTACCAGCTAACATTCTAAGGTACCTCTTAGGCCCTGTCCACACGTAGCCGGGGATCTGCCAAAACGCAGGTATTTTTCTACGTTTTGGCCTGTCATCCACACGAAAACGGAGTTTTTTCACACGAAAACGGATCTTTTTAAAAACTCCGGCCAAAGTGAAGATCTGCGTTTTCTCCGTTTTGGGTGTCTGCGTGTGGACAGACAAAACCGGAGTGTTAAGGTCCGCAACGTCACTTTCCGCGACAAAAAAATGCTGACATCACGTGTGCAACCTGTGTTTACACTAGCCGACATCATGGAAGCCCTCAGACCTGCGCTCTGTCACTACCCGATCCATCAATTGTCCAAGCGCTTTCTGCTTGTTTGTTTTTACAAGCGGAATTACTGCTCCTTGCGGAAGACCACAGACGAAGGACGAGGTTAAGAACGGGGGAAGTACTGCCGCCTACAGGTCTGGCATGTCCTTAACAACGTATTTATCCGGGTACGTGTGGACAGAGTTTGTTTTTAAAACGCGGTGGTGTGGATGCAAGTTTTTGGAGGGGCGGATATTCGTTTTAAAAAAACCCCGGCTACGTGTGGACTAGGCCTTAGCCAATAGCGATGGCAGATTTTATATCAAATGCAGTGCAGAGTTTTTACCGGACAACGACAAAACACTGACAGTTTTAGGCAGAAAATTGAAATGTGTACTAAAATGCACTAAAGTGCAAAACTATTGACTACACGAGTCTGCAGCACAATCAGATACGGATTTATATAGTTTATCAGAAAAAATAAAAGTTGATTTGAGGGTGACTTGCTCTTTAGGTGTTAGGAGCTTACGATGGTAAGATTTCAGCAGCCATGAAGATCTTCTCCACTAGCTCAGACAAAATGTTTAGAAGATGGGTCAAGTTCATGTTCACATCCTCGTTCTTCTCCAGTTTGGAAGGGTTCAACTGCAAAGGAAGGGAGGGACACATGAAAGAGGACATTTGGACAGATAATTATTTCTATGTGCTGAATGAAGGCTACATGCAGGTTTATTTATTTACCTCGCACGACTGTTTGCTTTCCATAATCTTCAGGATGGTGTCTTTGAGTGCGTGATGGACAAAGGGAGTGGCGGTGGCCTTCATGTACTGCTCCATGAGCGTGCTGGCCAGCGTGGTAGCTCTGAACAGTGTTGTGGCTTCATCTGGGAGGATGCGCGTTACCAAGTCAAACTCAAGCTGTTTTAAAATGACCTCACATCAAATCACGCCGTCTGCGTCTCACCCTCCATGCTGATTTCTCTGTCGTTGAGTCTCATTAATAAGGATGCTTCAGCCTTCTCATGTCTAAAGATGCGCAGGAGGAGGCTCGCCAGTAACGTCCTGTCCTGACCACACACGTGGGCCAAAGCATAGATTACATGGAAATCTTTCTGCAAAATCATCTGTAGAGGACATAAAGAGACCGTTTTGATTCAACAGCCATGCTTGCAGCCAAAAAGTTGCAATCAGAACCACTTCTCAGCAGGCCTGACCTCCTTGAATTCACTGTACTCTTCTTCAGGCATGATCTTCTCCATGGAGTATCGGGAGCGTATACGCAAGGTGCCGGGCTCGATGCCCTTCAGAGGAACGTGGGAGCTCAAAGAGTACCACTCATCATTCATCTGACCCTTATTCAAACTGTTTAGCTGGCACCGCATAAACACTGAGAGGAGACAAAGAGGAGGACAACAAGGAAAAGATCAAAATGGGACTGTAGAGTTGAAGGTTATTACTTTCTCTAATTTATGATCACTTACAAATATCATTTTCTTTGCTCTTTTTTGATTTGTTGCTCAGACTGATTTCAAATCGGTTAATTTCACTGGACAGGTCACTGAAAACACAAAAAAGGCATGTTGGAATTTTGCTAACACAATCGTGAAACGAAAGGAGACGAACGAGCACCGACTCACTCAAAGATGAACTCTTCAGTGAAGACAGGATTCTGCCCTTCTCTCGGGTGTGTTTTAGCAACCTGGATGCTGTTCAGGAAGATGTTACAGTAGGGGTTGGTGAAATACTTCATAGGCAGCTTGTGGGCCTCCTCCACATACAGCACCAGACTGCTCACCTGAGAGGAAACGCACACAAAATGAATGTTATTCGCCATAATTACAACTTCGCTGTTTTGCTCTCGACACCTGACAAATCTGGATCAATCTCTATCTGCCTCAGGATACATGCATTTTTGACTTAGCTGACAAAGAAAGCTCTGAAACTTAAAGAGTGTCAGTTATCTACGAGCTTGGCTTCCTACTTTTTACCCTCTAGATTTATGATGTCCTCGATGCCCTTACTAGATCATCACATTTGCAGATGACACTACTATAGCAGGGATCATCAATGGGAGGCCTGGATAGTGCAGAGGAGCCAAATTAATCCTCAATGCCACCCAAACCAAGGACCTAAATTAGGACTGGGCTGTTTGTTTGAGTCAATCTGTGGAAATGGTCCTGAATGTCAGATTTCAATAGAAGAACAAGACCTGTTGTAACACTGGAGATTTAAAACGACACTGTCCCCAAAAGTCCATCACTAGTCAAAATGTTCCCAATACCTTTTAACTTAGTTTTTGTTTTTAGCTGTTTCACTATGTTTTAATATTCACACTTACCTGTCTAAGCCTCTTGTTGGAAGTGGGTGCTGTGGTTTTTCTTAGGTTACTGCAGAAATTTTGAAGACATTTCAACCAATCCTGCAAAAACAGAACACAGTCTGAAAGTTACAGCACAGTTAGCAGTCTTTGGGAACTAGCAAAACTGCAACTCATACCAGCAATTAGTTAACTGAAACCCAACAAATAAACAAGGAACATTAAGCCAAATATTAATGAATCTTGTGACATGCATCATGTAGTTATTGGCGATATTAACAGTAAGTGGTACAAATTATTTAAATTTTGCCAATGGTAGAGATTTTAATAACAATGAACCATCGCGACTGCGCTTCAATGTTGCAGATCTGCGACTACTTTGGACGAATGCATTGCGGCTATTGCAAGCATAGATCTGGTGGAGGAAGAAAAGCTTGTATAGAATAAACCTCTAACCTTTTTTTACTGTTGGTTTTGCAGGCAGTTTTTCACTACTGAAGTAACACTTAAGTTGTATGAGTGAGTGAAAAACAGGAAAAAACAATCAGTAATCAAGAAAGCAGAAAGCGATGTTTTTGTTTTTAGATTTTAAAAGTTCAGTTCCAACTGTTTTGAATTTTGTGTTTTCATATAAATTTTAGTTTAAATATCTTCATCTTTATTCATGTTTTGAGAATTTTTGTGTTGCATTTTTGTAAAAAGAATCAGAACACATTAAAAATCACTAGGTTATTTTTTGTGTAAAATACATTTTGCACTTTAAATGACAAACGTCCCTTTTCTGCTGCAGTGATATTGTATGTGAGAATGTTCATAAGCAGTCATTTTGAGATATATAAACATAAGGAAAGATTATATCGCAATAAATATTGTTACCGCAAGTGCTTCAAATTCTACTGAGGTGTCGACCCTTTGGACGTGACATCACGCTGCACATTGGACCTTCACGATAATGGACGACAAAGAAACTTTGAAACGCCTTTAAAGGTAGTCAAAACAAGCCAGTTTGTAGCCTTAGATCCGCGACTGGCTGCACCAACAGACAAGTGTGTAAAACTCAACTTGTCTTTTGATCAAATGACTTTTATGGAGACAGAAGACAGGGGTGAACCGCAGCTGTCAATCAAATGGACAAGCAGCTCTTGAAGTATTTTCAAATTAGCAGCAAACAGTTTACTGGCTAAATATAACAATCTTATATTTCTTTTAGGAGACAGCGACCGACAGCGATGGACCTGAAATGATAAATATTTTGTCATTATACTACTTATTTAGTATTAATAATCCTATATTTCACTATGGAGGAGGTACATTACCGTCCATTATAAAGAACTGTAAGGTAATAATATTGATCCGATGTAGGACTACGTGTGAAAATTCACAATTCAATTATTTAGCACGATGAGCTTTTCCGTTAGGAGACATCCATCTCCCCTCATGGGTTGTGTTTAAGCCCAACACAGGGTCCTCCCTTGAGTTTAGGTGTCTTTTCTTATGCCTGGATGAGTCTAAAGGCTCAAGTTTTAACATGAACTCATTCGTAAATATCATAAATAAATTTGTATCCCTAGTCCATTTTGATTTGCAGAGAAAATATTTTAATTTTTAAAGTGTGAACTACCATCAACAGTCATATTATTAACTTAATAACCAATCAAGCAGCCTAATGTCATTATGAGGTTAGTTATTTCTAATAATGAAAAATGCCTCCACCATGTGGCCAAACTGAGAAGTACACGCCATAAATTGTACACCAGATCTCATCATTTTTCCAGTGATTCTGCTACATATGCGGATAACCTCTTCAATCTGATATCTCGTCACACAAGATTCCTCTCACTCCAAATAGTTAAAATCCAAACTTTATAATATATTTGTAACTTAACCTAAAACAGAAACAGTAAAATTAGGAACAAATTTACTGCTTAAAATCCAAGATACGCCTTTTAAAGGTTTCTACAAACTAAACATGTTACTCACATCAGATCTACTTAGTGTGATGAAACTGTTCGGGTACAGAAATAAGTCTTTATTATTGTTATCATTACCTGTGCCTGCTCTGGGGCCTCTCCTGCAAAGTAGAAAATGTACTGTTCTTCACTAAAGTGCTGGACAACAATCTGGAAACAGTTTGGCCTGAAAAGTCAAACAGATGCTTTACAAATTTTTCAATGACACAAGCTAAAAAGGTTTTAAGAGGTGTTAAACAACCGTTAGCATGTAAAGCTGTTGCTTATATTGGCTTTGCAGTCATCCTTTGAAACCATACCTGCCAAACAGACTGTCATGGACGCCGTACACGGAGCACACACTCAGGTCGATCAGCCCTTTGGGTTTGGTTGCTCTTTTCTCACTTTCAAAATAAATGAGCTGTGCATCGTTACCCTCCAGGATGAAGTAAAGGTTTTTCCACCTTTTTCCTTTTCCTGAGGATGACGGGAAAAGTTGGGATCTTGACAGAGTTGACAACTAAACAGGAAGCTACTAAATTTCTGCCTTATTTCAAGTGCTGGACAAAATGGACTAGATACCTTTGCTAAACAGGAGATAGCCTTTTTTGACTATGTTTTTGTAGAAAGCGTCTTTTGTTTTGCGCCTTATAGTGTTATAAATCTCTCTCCCATCCACAGTGTCAGGAAGTACTTGTTCCTGGTGCTACAGTAAATGCAAACACAACATTAAATTACAACTAAAATATTCATTATTAGTCATTTCATAGATTTAAATGTCATTTCTGCTGCACCAGAGGTGGTCCTACAACACAGTCATTTATTTTCTTTCAAAATACAAATAAATCAGCTAGAGAACCTTTTAAAAATCCTTTTTCAAAATCCTTCAGCAATGTAATGAAATTTTGTTCCAATGAGTGAACGTTAAAACATTTTTGGAATATCTGTCAACAGTTGAGCTCACCTGTACTGAAACTGGTTCTTTCAGGTTGTATCTTTCAACAATCTGTTCTTTCTTATAATGGTCGATGATGTCATCAACACTGACAAAGAGAACAAAGCAAGTCAGATGAAATAGTCGAGCTTTGACCACTGAATTATAAATGCACACGGTAAAAACAAAACAGACACCAAAATTAGAGCTCGACATCTTGTTACATTCCTGCCTTTTCACCTACTGAAAGGCCTCACGCTGACAGACATACCTGTTGTAGTACCTCCCTCCCATCATGTACTGATTGTTGGGAGTTGGGGAGATCTTAAACCTTTGGATGTTTTCACTGGTACGAAAAAACAGGGAGTAGTCCCCGGGTGTGTTGTCTGATGGCCGGACGAGAAAACTGCACACCTGGCCCACTAGGAATCAAAAACGAGTCAAGTTTGGATATGTCGCTGAAAGAAATATGTTTATCGTAACTAACAAGCCCTGGCTGAACAAAGAGAAATCTCACCGGTCATCAGAAGGTTGTACGCTTCTTGCTTGGTGATTTTTCCATAATACCAGCTAAAGGTGAGATTTTACAAACAAGAAAAGAAAAAAAGATTTAAGCACCAATGCCCAGAGTAACAATAACACCTTTATTATCCACTCTGCCACTAGACAGCGTTAATTTGTTTTTCTTTCAATGTCAGCATTTATTTTTTTTTACTTGATAAAGTCACCAAGAAAAGTCAGTTCAGAGTAACAAAGCTTACATTTTCCCCTCGTGTGGATCCTCCTCCCGGCCCTGGAAATACCAAATACAGACATGTGTCAGGACTCCACACTATTGTTTACCGTACAACCATCTTTGTGTTTTCAGATCATTTTATCTATATTGCACAACGTTTACTGTTCAAAGGTACATTTTTTATTTAGTAACCTCAGCATGAGGTTTTACTTACCACCTCTTCCACCAGGTCCTCCACAATGAGTCCTTGCTCCTCCGTTCGAACATTGGTCACCCACATCCAGCCATCCTCCAGTTCATTGTGAACAATAAACATATCCCCTTTCAGGAAGCTGGAGATACAACAAGTCTTAATATCATTAAAGGAAGAATTTTAAAACTGTGCAAAAAGAATGAACAAAGATTTTAGAGAATAGTACCACAGTACAGCCAGTAGGTGTCTCTGTCCTGTAAGAAATGTCTGAACACTCAAGCCTATTGCTGCAGGCAAGCTTGGGGCTGACTTTGGACAGATGTTTATCAGATTTAGGAAATCAGGAACTGCTGGGCTCATCAGTGAGAGTGCCTACTGCAGCTTAATGACAAGAACAAGACTGCTTTTCAATAAGTCAGATGATGTGCTTGCAGGCTGCTGCAGCATTCCACAGAATCAGGTTGTGAGCAACGTAGGGAAAGACTGTATCCTTAAGTGCAAAATCCCTCCCGTTTGTCTCCAATTTTAAATAATAAATATCCTTTTTGAGCTATGTGCTGGATACAGAGAGGCTGTTTTCTGAGTGTAATGTGGAAATTGCATGATGCACTTACCTGATCTCATCAGTATCTGGCACTTTGGTGTACGGGAGTATGGCCCGGACTCTCCTCCTGTCTTCTACCGGCTGTGGAAATTTACAATTAAAATATACTCTGTCTTTACCTTGTAGCATTCTCTTAAGACTGAAATATTTCCCTGTTTAACAAAATTAAGTGTGCTTCTACAACTCCTACTAGGATGCACTAAACCAAGAACAGAATATAAAATTAAAACCAGTTTTGCATAAGAACAATATCAATACTACCTAAAGGCAAAAGGAGGAAAATGAGTGGGAGGATGTGAAAATATTACTCGATTGTACAATTCATGAGTAGGAATAAAGGTTTACAAGTCATCCCAAACAGATGTATAACTTTAGTCAAGACCAATTATCAATGAGTTCATTTAAGCCAGGGGTGTAAAAATCAAACTCACACTGGGCCAAAATGAAAATCTAGGACGGAGTGGCGGGCCGAACGTAATATTTTTTTGAAAAAGTGACGGCAAATTAGCACATTTTCTTTATCAACATATATGCAATTTAGAACTTTTTAATTTGGAAACAAACTCATTTTTGCATTAACACTGAATGTGGAATAACCGAATTACAAACAAGTCAATTTTAAATAAAACACATCAGTGGTATTCATTACTTGTGGTATATTCAGCATTTTAAAATCTATTCAAGATTTATGTTTTCTTGTTTTTTATTAATTTTTCTTATTTTTTGTTCTTTTTTCCTCCTGTAATAAGCGTCATCGCTGCTGTGACATCTAGCTTTCCCCACTGAGGAACAATAAAGGGATTTTCTATTCTATTCATCTATCTGCAGCCTTTCCACTTCCTGTTTTACCATAGGTTAAATCTTTTCTCACGGGCCAACAACAAAAATATAATTTTATCTTAAATGAAAATGCAACATCTCACCTGTTAACTTTCATGTTTTGGAGCAGAAAAAGAGCATAAAACCAACATATTTAAAGCTCATTTTGCTCCACTCATTTATTGTGATGCTCACCTGTTCCAGCCAGATACCTGCCTGAGCTGAGGAGGAGACTCCTGTTGTTTGTTCATCTTCATCATAATAATGACAACATTAGATGACAACCGGTGCTCACACAGGTTTGTGCTGCTGAACATGGACAGCATCTGAGCAGCTTGACCACGTTGTTGAGTGTCGGGGAGGAAAAATAAAAACTACAGCAGGCACAGAGTCATGCTGATTTGAGCGTGTCGCTGCTCGCTGGAGTTCTATCAGCTCTGTCTGGAAGTTAGTTGGAAAACTTTCTCTTTCAGTCGTGAACACATTACTGAGTGGTTAAAATCTCCGTTTCTAGGCTGAGTGAGAGGAGTGTTTAGTTTGTCCGAGACAGCGGAGCTGCAGACGCTGGAAAAAACACAAAGGAGGGGGCGCTTCGGCTCCGTGCTAACGCAGCAAAGCATCATGGGAGTTGTAGTATTTGCGGTAAAATAGGCCAGCAGGTCAGTTTTAATATATTGTTGATATTTATTTCGCAGGCCACATAAAAATGCTCTGTGGGCCACATCTGGCCTAGTGTCTGACACGTGATTTAAGCGATGAGGCTTATTATCAATATCTTTCCTTTAGCACAACTTAACTAATGCTAATAATAATCAGCACTTAGATCTAAAATCAATTTCACCTCAGGAGGTGCCACGGGTGATAGCAGTTTCTCTCCTTTTAGAAGGCAAGAAACATAGCTGTAGTAACCAATCAGGTCTGATAGAGAAGAGAAGCGCCGACCACCAATGTAATAGTCCCCACACATGGCGATAATCCTGTGAGCAGAAAACAACAATTAGAGGCAGGAAAGGTACTTTACAACATACTTTCACTTCTGAGCAGAGGAAAATCCCATCCAAGACATACGAGGTTTTCCTCTGGTTTGAAAAGTGTTTCCGGAGCTGAAACCCAACTTTTAGCTGACAGAGCTGCTCATTTGGTCATATTTTTCTTCTTCATGAAATGCTTCAGCTGATATCAATAGCGCTGTGGTCGTATGTGTCTGTATTCAGCACCAAGAGACTGAGTCTCTGGCTTCCACAGCAGAACGGGGTTTACCGTAATAACATTTAGTAGACTTGAAACCACAACTTCTCTCATTTTAAAAACGTTTTATTTGTTCTGATGGCACAAACAACTGATTACTAATTCAAAGCAAGGAAAACTTAGTGCTATTATGTGTTTTTGTAAGGGGAAAAAAATCAGGTGGTCCAGAAAACATCCAGGCAGCCCATGATTTTTGTTAAAAAGTACATCTGAAGTAAATTCTTACATTCAGTTTTCCACCTTGTATTATATGCGTAATAGCTTTTAATGTTTTGATTATACCATGTCATTTCCTGTCATGTTTACAAATGGTAATGTACATTGTGGAAAAAAAACTGAAAAAAATTGAAAATCGAATTGAAATCGCAAGTTCTGCCATAAAAATTGCAAATTCAATCATTTCCTAAAACAGTTCAGCGTTATTAGGTTCCCATCGCTACAAACAACAACAAAAAGCTTTAATGAACCATTTTAGACACAAGATCATACTTATCTATATATCCCAACAGGATGTTAAATGGAAGTTGTTTGACAACTAGCAGGTTGTTGCTAACAGGTTGTTGTTGCCAAAGTCCCAAAATAACAAGTTATCTTAGCTGGGTCGGACGTACTTCTGGTAATAAATCTATTCTCTGCCTAAACAACATGACAGAAGCTCCTCTTTAATGGTGGGATGCCCAAATCAGGATTTTTGCTGCAGATCACAGATATCGATCACATGGATTGGACATGAATCAAGTGCAACAAACTACATAATCTGGGGGAAAATGAACAGTCACATGAAATGGCCTGTATTCATTTAGACAAGAACATGTATTTTCATTTTCAAGAGATTAAGACTTGCAGGACAATCAGTGTTTTGTTTTTTCTGACCACAATGTCCAAGCCTCCTATCAGGGAACCACAATTCTAATTAAAATGAGAATCACAATTTTTTTTTTTGCTTAGAATTGAAATCACGATTCTCAATTTTTTTTCTCCAAAATAAGTATTTATTGCACTTATTAACTGCACATCAACATCATAACAGCTGTCAGTGAACATGAAAACAAATTTCTCTCTTACGTACGCAACTTTTGAATAATTAAAAAAAAATAACAATTTTGAAACAATGTTCTCTCTGCTTGTAAGGTGATGAGAGGTAGGTAATACGTACGTTTTTTGAAATGTAAACCACAAATAACAAAATATAACATTTAACATGACAACATGATTGTTGACCACAGAAGGACCACAACAGAGAACAGAGTACTTTTTTTTATCTAGCCAACTGCTTAAAATCGTTGTCATTTGGAAATGAGATTGCATATAAGTATAAATTCAGATCATAATTTTATTTATTTTTTTTTACAATTAATTGTGCAGCCCTGCCTCCTATATTCACAACCCAAGGTTTAGAACTGAAGGAGCCTCTTGGATGAGAGGCAAAAAGTCTTGAGAATAACCAGAAAAGTCCAGTTGTTGATGATCATGTCCAGGATGATCGACAATCTACCAATGATGCTTCTCCTCTCCTGGAAATTAGTCTCTGGTCTGAAACCTGTCTCCCCTGGCCAGCAGAGGATATGTGGCTTAGGCGACTGGCATCATGCGACACAGACTTGGTAGTGCAGTGGTTGGAGTGCTAGGCTAGCATGTAGTTTTGTGCAGGTTCACATCCCGGTCTTAGCAGCACCTTTTTTCTTTTTCTTTTTAGCTACGCTTACCAGCATGTTCTCAACACTTTATTGGTAAACTGTTTAAAAAGTAAGGACTAATCGGTTTTTCTTCCTTTGTTTATTTAGCCAGTGTGAGTCCACGTGAGGTGAGCAGAGTAAATCGACTAAAATGCTGCTTGGAAATGGCCAAATTCAAAGATCTTTAGAGACAAAATATTTTGCAGAAAATAGTCAATGAAACTTAAATATAAATGCATGAAATTTGCTTCAGCTTTTAACTAAATTACTATTAAATTATGAAATTACTGCAGACACCACCGGGATTTGAATCCACATCAGCACATGGCAAAACGGAAACATTTCGGATTGAAGTGGTTAAAATGCATTAACCACTGGACTACCATAGCCAGTACAACTGACTCACCTAAGACGCTGTTGTAGGCACGTTTTGTCAAAGTGGGCAAGGGCGGAGTTTCGCTGAAACAAAGCGTTTTATTTCCAGGTATATATGTTTATGTTTATTCATTTGGCAGACGCTTTTATCCAAAGCGACTTACAATTTATAATCTATAGGGCATGTTGTGATCTGTGGGGGAAACCGGAGTACCCGGAGGAAACCCACGCATGCATGGGGATAACACACAACTCCATGCAGAAAGGCCGCAGCCAAGTTTCGAACCTGCAACCTTTGTGCTGCGAGGCAACAGTGCTAACCACTGCACCACCATGCAGCCCTATTTATTCAGGCTGACAAAGATAACTCACATTTAAGAGGATGATAGTCTACACCTACATTCTGCAGCAGCAAATCAGTCAAAAGGGAAACTGAAACTTAAATGTTGCTACTGCCAGTAACAATCTAACAGATTTAAAACAATAAGACTCTCCACAAACCAAAAAGTAAAAAAAAAAAAAAAAGAAGAATAAAATAATCACATTTAGCATGTTGTGAGATTTATTATTATTATAATTATGTACTTATTATCTCTTTCGGCTCCCATTGGCCAGAACGCAGGGTGGTCCACCACAGAGAAAAGCTGATCTAGAATGATGACATGAATTATTTTACAGGTTATTTTCGCTCAGCCTTCTGACGGTCACACTCACTCAGATGAGTGTCGGTGAGTGGCTGCGTTTGACTGTTGATGCTCCATGTGTGTTTTATTTCTGCAGTGAGCCTTAAAAACTCACTTTACTCCGCCTGGAGTTTGCTCCTTAAAAGTTGTGATAAATTCACTGTATTGACACATTTTAACGAGCTTCCTCCATGCAATATTAATCGCTGAAGAATGCAAACTTTATACCACATGGAACGTTCGGCAGATGTGTTTCTTTACATGAAGGGCGAGATGGAGATGTGATGCAACACAAAGGGTTTCTGCCAACCAAAAAGTATGAGCGACAGGTGATCGGCTAGTATGATCGGCTTTGAAAAGCATTCTTTTGAGTTTGCTAATCATGTGTTTTTTTTTTTAATTGGCCAATTTTTATCAGCGGCAGATCAATCGGAACATCCCTACTTTAAAGGAGATCGAGAATGCAGTTAATCAGTAATCTAAAACTGATCTTTGAGCCTCTATAAAGCATTTCAAATTTTGTTGGACCTTAAAATGGCCCAGGAACCCTGAGAAATTGCCAACTAAAACAAGCATTTTTTGTGTGTGTGTGTGTGTGTGTGTGTGTGTGTGTGTGTGTGTGTGTGTGTGTGTTGGGGGGGCTAAAGAGAGATATGTGAAAATAGAAACTAAACTACAGTCAGGGTTTCTCACTAAGTCCCCACTCAAGCCTTATATAAAAGTGATTAGTGGATCTTTTAACAAAATGGCATTTAGAGCTGAAACAACTGATCGATTTAATCGATTATAATCGATTATTAAAATAGTTAACAACTTTTTTAGTCATCGATTAGTTGTTTAATAATCATATTTTACCGCATAAAGTCTATTTTTTACCACAATCTCACATCGGTTACAATCTGTTAAATTTGCCGCCAGTGTGTGGCAGTAATGAGCCACTGATCTACCAGTGGAGCCGTAGAAGAAGAAATGAGCCAATAAGTGGCCTCGGTTTTCATGACGTATCACGTTACTGACGCTCATCTTGCTGTGAGAGATGGCGGATCAACAAGAAATACGGAAGAAAAATAGAAGCGACTAAAACAAGAGAAACCCCGGACAAAAACCTCACGAGTATGGGAGCACTTCACTAGATGCCTTGAAAAGACCGGTGACCTGCAAAATATGCAAAAACCATGGCACGACGGAAGCACGACGTCCCTAAGTGAACATTTGAGACGAAAACGTGGGGGCTGATGCAGCAGAGGAATGTCCGGTAAGTAACAGAAAATAAACAAGCTAACGCAGATCAAATTTGGGACTTAGTGTTAGCTGAGTTCGTTATAGTGGATGTTAAACATGTTTTTTTTTTGCTGCGTCAGTTTACGGTGTTCTACTTCTGATTGACTAGATGCAATCGTGAATCTCCTCTGTGTTGTGAATCATGCTCTTGCCAAATTTAGCACGTCTGTTTATAAGAATGTTCTCGTTAAGAGAAAAACGGCACAAACCCATAACTATGTTCCTCATTCAAAAAAGGACAACTCCGCGGAGACAAATATACAGACGAGCTGTGTCCAGGTGAATATAACGCGGCATAGTTGTACACTTTCAATTTTTAAATACAGGAGAAATTCAGAAAGTCCTTTTTTTTTGCTATTAAAAGGCTGTTTTACCGTCTAACGCTGTAAAACGCCTCACAAGACATTTTTGTCAAAATAAATGATCATCACTGTATATTGTTAATTAATTCAAATAATATAATATTGATTTAGTGTTGTAGTGTGTGTGCTGCTTTATTTTATATGTGTACTTAATTCAGTTTATTTGTGTTTCTTATGCAGAAAAAAACAAGCAAAGATGGACAACTACATGGGGAACAAGACACACCCCCAGCAATGCATACCACTTACAAACTATATTCTAGATTCTACATTATTTTTTATGGAATTTACCTCTTATATTTTGATGCCAAAAAATTATTCTGGACTGATATTTTGCACTGTTTAGCTCATTTTACACCACTGACTGTGTTCATGTGCAATAAAATAGATTGCAGTCAACTGCACAATTCTCTTATGTTTTTCTTTTTCCTAACTGAAATGTATTCATCACTTGTCTAGGTTAAATAGCTAAACAATAACAAACCGATTAATCGATTAATCGAAAAAAATAATCGACAGATTAATCGATTATGAAAATAATCGTTAGTTGCAGCCCTAATGGCATTACATATAAATTATTTCATATTTTTGCATCCAATCACATGTTCTGTGTTTAAATTTGTATAGATTTTGTATACTGTTTGTTTGTTCTATAAAGTTCTGAAAAGAATAAAATGTCCCCACTGAAGCAGTGAGTCAAGAATGAGTGTAGCACAAAGACAGGCTGCTTGTATAAGGGTTGTAGAAGGATTGCAGACCAACAACGAAGTAAAGCACCACAAGCTGTGGATCTATCTGACATTTATTTATAGTCTGGATTTTACCAGTATATCTTGGAACCTGAGAGGTGAGTGCTTGTTTTTCTCTCTTTCAACAAGACTGTCGCTAGTTGAAGCTAACAGCTAGCTAGTGCTAACCGTGGCTCTGCGGTAGCGTTGCTGCGAGTCGACCAGTGTTTACATATTGCCGACGTTTAAGTGAGTTGGAACATGTAGATGTAGCAGGAGTAGTAACCTTGTGACGTGTCAAGGAAGGTTTGCTCAGAAAAGGTTTTTCTCTTGCATTTTTCAACTTTCTAATTTAAACAAAAGTAGGTCACACACAGCTTTGACTTTGACGTGCTACATTTGACCAACCAAGCTGTAAAAAATGAAAATGCTGGTTTACATTCTAGGTCTCCTTTAATGTTTATCATACTTTTTGGTCAAATGTAACCATAAGACAAAAGACAAATTTAACTACTCCCTTGTCTGCCCTGTGTGGGTCAAATCAGGTCATGATTTCTTTCCACAAAACATGCCCACTTATTTGCAACAGGAGTCTCTGAATGTGTCTATACAAGAGAGTCTGCAATATTATGCAAGACATTATGCAAGATAAGGATTAAACAGGCTCCCAGAGAATATTCCAACTGGGATAGTTGTTTGGATCAGAGTCATGCATCTCCGTTGTATGTCATACCTGAAATGATTGACCACATTGGTCATACTGAGGAAAGACAGTACGAAGGAACCGGGCCGGCGGTCACTCTCCCTGATGAGGTAGCTGCCAGCGTTCCGGGCCTGGCGTAAACGCTCCTCTGCGATGGTTCGGTCTAGTTTGCCATGGTACCACCTGAAAGTAAAAAGATGAGAAACAATAGCAAAGAAAAACTTCTGATTGAAGCTCATATAAATACTAAATGTGAAACAACCATGCCAATGTAATTAATTTTGACAATGAAGTCTTTAAAAAGCTAAATTTAAAAGTCATTTAAACTCATTGAATATGAAAATGACTGTTTACTTTTAAAGCCTTGCTGTTTTTGAATTGGAACAAAACATTTCACCACAGTTAAAAATAAATACTGGTTTGGCAATCTGTACTTAACAGGGCTTTGTCAGATGGAAGAACAAACTGCACATGATTTTCCAAATTGAGGTCATTACCTTCTCTCAAAACAGAGGGAAGTCAACTAAGAAAAAAAACACCCAGGAGTGAAAGCATGAATGAAGTGCAGCTGTACTTTATGTCACAAGAGACCTACATAGCTTCCATTTGGTTAAAGGGAATACAGGTCTGTGGTTGTAAAGTAAACAGGATAAAAGATGCTTTCCTCCAGTAAAATGACGAAAGTGAGCTAAGGAAGGAAGAAGGAGCACATTTATGAGTGTTTCTGGGGATTTTTGTGCTGACAAAATTTAAGCGGGGCACGTGGGGGCTGCACAGCTCAGCCATAAAGATTTAAAGAGAAAACGATTTACGTAAAATGAAATAAAATTAAATAACTGAAACTGGAATACAAACCTAAACTGGCCTTGTTCCAATTATACACATATGTCCAGCCTTGAATGAGGCCAAGAAAGACTCACAATTTATCTGACTCAGAAGACCTTCAAGCGTGTAATAGCCAAAACTATATGATTGGACATAAAAAACAACCTAAGGGTCAATTAAAGTTTCCACTACTTTGAGCCAATCCTAGCAGTCAAAGCCAGGTCTGCAGCTGCCATCCGATGCACAACTTACCATGAATCTGAACTGACAGAAGGATGCTAGACTTTAACAAGAAGCTTGGCTTTCCATCCAGGTTTTCTGCTCCATTTACAAATCTAAACATTATTTCTGCTGTACTAAAACCAAAGTAAAGCAAATAAATGCAAATATATATACATGCACACTTCTTTAGCATTTCCTGAAACTAGCTAGCTTTTGCTGAGCTAGAAAATGAAATTCAGCGAGATGTACAATTCTATGTTCCCAATACAAATGGACACTAGAGTAAGCCAACGTCCTGTCTGAAGAGTCTGATCTTAGTGTGGTGAGCTCTGAATGTCAGAACACTCGTCACGCCACATCAACTCTGCCTGTAATTATGAATGAATCTGCAGCATGCCTCTCCATGGGTTGCCACCTTACCGTGGTGGAGGAGTTTGAGTGTCTCAATGATCCTAGGAGCTAAATTGTCTGAGGCTTTCTGCCTCTGGAAGGGTGACCCATGGCAAACAGGTCCTAGGTGAGGGATCAGACAAAGAGCAGCCCGAAGACCTCTTATGATGAATTATATAAATGGAAACCGTGTTCCCTCACCCGGACGTGGGTCACCGGGGCCCCCCTCTGGATCCAGGCCTGGAGGTGGGGCATGTTGGCGAGCGCCTGGTGGCCGGGCTTTCACCCACGGAGCCCGGCCGGGCACAGCCCGAAGAGGAAACGTGGGCCCCGCTTCCCATGGGCTCACCACTCGTGGGAGGGGCCAAAGGGGTCGGGTGCAGTGTGTGACGGGTGGTGGGTGCAATCATGCTTTAACATCTCAACAGACATACAGTCACATCAAAAAGTTATGAAAGACTACATTACTGTCCATTAGCCATGCATCTGAGATGAGCTGTGGACTTTCTAAAAGGACACTGATGTTCTTAGAATAAGCATTTGTAGGTTTTATGCAGTGTGCATTAGAAAACTAAAATATGTAAAATAAACTTTGCCTAAATTGTCTTTCGTAATGAACAGTTTGCTTATCATTACATCCATGTTATCAGTCAGTCGTGATCATTTGCGCCGTCTGAAGACAATTTAGAAATTAATTCTGCCAAAAAAGCTGACAATCAATTTGAAAGTCAAAACAAACAAATGCACAAATCTCTGAGCTAACCTAACATGGAAAGTGTAGATGGGTTGTTTCACAAGAAAGACAAGTCCGCCCCCGAATTAATTTATTAAACTCATTAAATGTGGAGCAGGACATGAGATGAAACATTTTTCTGTTCGAGTCACAAGCTGTTTTTTTAATCAATGGCATAAGCAATGAGTTGCACATGGAAATAACAAAAACACCATTGTTTAGTTCAACAATAAAGCCTTGCATGAAGCAACTAGCAAAAGACACTGATTAGGTGTCACTGCCACTAAACCATAATTTCTGTTGCGACTGCAGCCGTGTGATCTTACGGCTATACAGCTGCCCAGCTAGGTCAGCAGGGTTCAACAATGTGAGCATTTTCTGTGCACGGATTAGCGGCAAATAAACCACACTGGAAGTTCATGGAGCAAATGTTTGCAGTCATTTCTTACATTGATGAGGAAGCAGTGTTTAGCATCTTTGTTAAGTAAAACACTGATCAGAGTGAAGTGAAAAGCACCCAACACCAGAGAAGAAAGGTTTTGTAATAAAACTACAGGCTGATCACATCAGGTTAGGCTAACAGCAGCTCTCCTCATCATTTAGCCATAATTTATCTCATGTCAATGACTTAAAACCCTAGTTTTGCTCTTAATCTTGAGCGTTTGAAGCAATAATGGCTCACTTACGCCGAGTTCATCTTCTGCTGTATCATCCTCCTTTGTCCCTTGAAGTCTCACAACAAGGTACACCTACTCCACCGGTACCACTGCTGGCCTGGTAAAGATAGTGACCTCCAACGTACCAAGCAAAAAAAAAGCCATGTGTTGTAGATCCATACAAGGCGTTAGGATGTTCCTCATGTGAAGCCTTAATACAGCCATCGCCTGTCATTAAACTGATTCAGCAGCATCCATGGACGGTTAACAGGAAGAAGCAATGATGCAAACACACTCATACATTTAGGTGATTAATTAACTCCACTAATTTGATAATTGGGTTAAGTCTTGTTGCTATAATCCTTTAGAAGATATTCCCCAAAAAAACCTACCCTGTTAATCTGTCAAACGCTGAAGCAGACTATGGCTTTCTGCTCTTTGCTCCCATTTAATCCTGCTCTGACTTTCTCTTACTCTCTCCACTTTCTCTCTCATAAAAGCACACATCCTGAGCAAGCAGCCTATTGGTTTCTGACGAGCAGGGACAAACAGGCAAGGAGTGGCATATATACACCAAAAATGTACAAAAATACACCATTTCTGCTGCATGCAAATCCACATAAACAACCCAGAAAATCTTGTGAACTTTGTTTAAATGCAACAGACTTCAACTATGTGTCAACTGCACAACTTTACCTGGTAAATGCAGTGTTTCCTCTAGGAATTTTTCCAGCTGTGGTGGTGGTGGGGTTTTTTTGGGGGGGGGGGGGGGGGGGGAGATTATGACACGTCTCACCTTTGTGTTAATATTGTTTTATATGATGCACTCCACTTTGAACTGCACCAATCCAGCAACTGCTGCATTTTAATAACTGTTATTAAAGGTGAATAAACCAATATTTGCACAAAAATAATTTTTGTTTTAAGCTTAAAATGACTCCTGAAGACCCTGCTCTTCAGAGAGCATCTTCTAAACTAGCACCCTCCCTGCACTCATCCCCCCTCTACCGTCCACTCCTTTGTTCCCTCCTCTCCATTATTGACTACGTTTACATGCAGCCAATATCCGGGTTATGATCGGGTTATGGTCGGTATTCGGGTTTCTGAGTTGATCAGAATAACCCGTTTACAAGCATAAATAGAAAGAGTTACCTCTAACTTGCATAACCCGATTTAAATGCGGACGTTGGGGTAGCGTCAGGACGTATGGACTACGTCCAGATGCAATATGCGTCTTTTCCGGTTCTTCTTGTTCCGGTATCCGTGAAAACAACATGTTTCCCAGTTCGGAAGAGATAGCGAACGCGTTTGTTTGCACTTTAGTTTCCTCGTCACTCCAAAAGTGTGGTGCTGTGCTGCGACTCGCCATGTTGCTCCCAACTTGATGTTTACTTCCGGTGTTCTGGCGCATACAAGACGTCTCGCTACTCAAAAGACCAAGATTCCTTGCGAACAGAGCATGCGCAGAACACACGCTTTGATGGGGATATCCCGATATGCGTTAACACGACCAAACATTCGGTTTAGAAAAGGGTTACCCCAGGTGTAGTAACCGGGTTTTTAAAAACCCGGTTATGAGCATATCCGGGTTTTTGGCTGTGTTTACATGGACCTGCGGAACCGGGTTATTGTGAATATTCGGGTTTTAAAAGGGTTACTGGCTGCATGTAAACGCACTCATTGATGTCAAGTTGTTGTTATTGTTGTTGTTAGCCTCAAGGGCAACATGCCGATTATCACTTGTAAGTCGCTTTGGACAAAAGCGTCTGCTAAATACATAAACATAAACGAAACTCTCAGTGACACACTTTGCATGGGGGGTTGGCATTCAATTTTTCTTGGCGTCTGGAAAAACATCTCCTTCTGCCCCCCTTTATTTTGGTCCAAGATCATTACTGGGCTGGCCCTATTAAAAACGTTCTACACCCCTGCTTAGTAGACTTAATGAAGTATTTTTAAGTCAGTATAAAAATGACTGAAACACAAATTTACATATTTGGCATTATTGACCAATATCTTTGATTTAATTTATTTGTTAAGAACATCAAGATGCATTACAGTGAACATTATAATAAAGTAATTTTTTTCTAGTGCAGAGAGGAGACAACCCATAGAAGCACTGATTTGATCTCATTTCAGAGAAAAATAGAACAGATCAGATGCACCTAATAAATAAAATTACTAACATGAACTCAGGAATCTGTTTCTTTGCTTCAATGTTCTGGTGCTGAAAACATCACTAATGCGGATCAAAGGAGATACACAGATGAATGCACCTTATTATTTGGAGATTAGTGGGTGTGGTTTACATCAATACATTATTTTAAATCTGAAATTGATATGGATCGATCAGAAGT